TACATGCTCACCCAGCTTGGAAGTGGTGGGGAAAGGCTTTGACCTTGCCCACACTCATGCGAATGTAAATTCCTGAGTGGTTTATGAACTTTGCTTTGTGGGGCCTTAGATTGTTCATACAGATGTCGGAGATTCTGCAAATGTTGGATCAGTACTATTGCAGAAGCTGGGGAGATAGCAGTGATATTATTACTTAATGCCCCTATGACAGGTTTTGTAGCAACTGGTGGAATTTGAATCCGCACCCACCGCTGGCCCTTGGTTATCTCCAAATATAAATATCCAGAAATGTCTACAAACATGATGTGGAGGAAAAGCCTCGGGACCTCTCTGACTACACAGGGTTGCTCTCCTCCTCCCTCTCCTGGGGCTTGGAGGCTTACTGGAGAGCATTTGTTCAGCTGTGCTGTTCTAAATTCCTAGCCAGGCAGCGTGGGGAGACAGTGGCGCGCTAGCAAGAAGCATGTCCTTGCAGAGCGCAGGAGTAATTAATGTGGCCAGAGGAAGGAGGGGGACAATTTGGATGTCATCCCTTGGCAGCTTTGCCCCTTAAAAATACCTCGTGGCTTGGAGAATGACCCTTTAGGCTCACGCAGCATATTTTTCTTTGACTAAATGACAAACATCCATCATGTAATACATCCCTTGCAACATGTCAGCCTGTCACTAATGACCTTATTGGAAAGAACATTTGATTTAAGTTTTAAACCTTTCGTGACAGCCTCTTATCTTGGATACATACATTTGAAATAAAATTAATATGGTCTTAGCCTGCAGTGAAGTAGTAAAACCGCAGCTTTTCTGGGTTTAAGAATCAGCGGTCTGCTCTGACTGGTGTGGCTCAGTGGGTTGGGCGTCGCGTGGTGAACCTGAAGGTCCCAGGTTTGCTTCCCGGTGGGCGCCCCTGCCTGGGCTGAGGGCCAGGACCCCAGCTGGGGGCGTGTGAAAGGCAACCGGTTGATGTTTCTCTCCCTCTCTTTCTTCCTCCTTTCCCCCTCTCTAAAAAATAAATGAGTGAAATCTTAAAAAAACAGAAAAGAATCAGCAATCTCCTTTCCCCCTCTCCTCTTCGATTCTGAAAAACAAATGTGCTTAAATCAACCCCCACTGGGCCCTGGAAATACAGTTAGATGACTTCATCCATTCTTGACCAACTGGTGGTATATTTTCTGAAGTGTCAAAATAATTATTATCTTGTTTTAGGAGTCAAGGTTGGGGCAGCAAGTGTCTGTTACTCTCTCTGATAGCTGTACATCAGGTTCTAGACTGACGGTGCCTGTGGCTGAGGAAATGATTGAAGTCAGGAGGAAAGACAATGGGTATTATAGCCGCATCTGACGGCGTCTGTGCAGCCAAAGTGATGTTGTTGCTTCTGTTAGAACTTTTACTTTAATATACATGCACCTGCAACATCTTAGTCCAAACATTTTTAACCTGCGATCGGAAAATGTGGCCCTAACCTGGGGGACGTTTGCTTAGGGCATTCCAGTAGGTGCTCTAGTTTTTTCCTAACTGGGCCAGTTTATGGGCAACTGGCCCCCCGATGCAGCGCTTCTCTGCTTTCAGGAAACGGCAGCTTCTTCTGAATTTCTCCCGGCTCTTGGAGGAGGTCTCTGGAGGGCAGGGGGCAGTGAGGCGTCTTCTCTGAGCAAGGAGCCGGGCTCCTCACTGACATGGGATTGACAGGGGGAGAGTGCCACCCTTGTACCGTGATGTGCCATGTGCTGGGCTTTAGATGATAAAGAAGGCAGAGGTGGTCCCCAAGCTCATGGTGGTGACCTCCAGCGGGGAAAAGAGGCCAGTCAACAGGCAATTGCTGGAAAGTCGGTAAGCACTGAGAGAGGGAAGCATCGGACCCTGCAAAAATATATGGCCCTGGCTGGTGTGGCTCAGTGGGTTAAATGCCGGCCTGTGAACCAAAGGGTCACTGGTTTGATTTCCAGTCTAGAGCACATGCCTGGGTTGCAGGCCAGGTCCCTAGTAGAGGGTGTGCGAGAGGCAACCACACATTGATGTTTCTTTCCCTCTCTTTCTCCTTCCCTTCCCCTCTCCTTAAAAATAAATAAATACAATCTATTTTAAAAGATTTTAAAAAGAGAACAATATATGACAGGGGCAAATGATCTAGTCTTGGATACTAGGAGGCCCTCCTGGAGGAGGTGCCATTTATGCTGAGGCCTGAGTGTGTCCCATCAAACACAGGCCACAAAGCAGGGCCAGCTTCTGCTCACACCGCCTTGCAGACATTGTCATGGAGCGCTTATTCTGGCCAACTCCTTTATCCAGGGCTGTGGCTGGAATCACCCCCCTCCCATCCCCACAAATATATCTGGTCCTGATCAGAGCCCTGGGGAGTCTTTGGGGTCATGACTGGTTGGACCTGAGAGGCATGGTCAGGGCCATATGGCCCCAGCGCCCCCGGCAGGTCCATTGTCCGGTGCCCACACCCTTGGGCCAAGTGGTCCTCTGTAGTGAGGTTTTGCTCAGTCTGGGGTGCAGTGCCTCTTCTGGGCAAAGGAGAATGAACTCAGCTTTTCAGAGTCGATCAGGAAACGCTTTCCCCGAGTTCCTCCGGGAGTTCCTTTGCAGCAGGCCATCAAAGGCCCCCTTGCTTTGTAGCCCACGGCTTGGGGGGTTCTTCCTGAGGACCCCTCCCAAAGAAGCTCTCTGCCCTGTCCGCTCCCCCCCCCCCCCCGCCCCTCCATCCTGCCCCGGCTCTGTTCCTGCTCCCTGTCCCTATCGATCTGGCTCTTCCCTGGAGTTCAGGCACACTTGCTTCCTGGAAACTGACCCCAGGCCCTTTCCTCCAAACCCAGTCTGCTGCCTTGTTCAGATCCTCCTGCTGTGCTTCTTGCCCTGTCGCAGGCATGTGGTCCTTACTCTGAAAGCTTGGGACAGGCTCCTGGGGACCCATCCCGGACCTCTCAGCACAGGTGCGCGGCCCTAAGAGACACCAATCAGTGGCGAGAATTCCAGGTGGAAGTAAGGCCCTGCTGTGGAAACCCAGATTTCAGGGAGAGAGTGGGATGTGGGGAGTGGGAGCAGATGCTTGGCCACCAGAGGGTGCCGTTGCCGAGGAATGAGCTGTGAGCAGAAACTCAGGCAACCCGGGGGAGATCCTGGGGGAGTTGAATGCGATGACCTCCCCAGTTCCTTTCAAGATTGGGTGGTGGCCTGGGGTAAACTGGAGAACACATCTCGGTAGCACTGACGAGGAAATCACAGGGGGCATGAACTTGTGACCTTTCCCCTCGCCTCAGCTCCTCCCCACCTGCTCTTCTCCTAGCAGAAGGCACCCCGCCGCGGCTGGCCCTCATTTTCTTAAGCAGGAAGCTAGGAGTCTCTTCAATATCCGTCTCCATTCCCTCCCACATCCAATCCATCACTCCGCCGACTCTTCCCGGCAAACATCTGGAACCCGTCCGCATCTCTCCACCCCAGCTGCCCCCAGCTTGGCCTGAGTCACTGTCACCATCAGGGTCCCCTCTCCCCCAGACCCCTCCGTGACAGCCTCCTACAAACCTTCGTCTTCCCCCCGCCCCCCCCCCCCCCCCCCGCTGCAGGCCCCTTCTGGGGCCGTCTTATAAAAATGGAAATGTGCTCACGACACTTTCATGGAAAGACTTGCTGCTCATGTCACTTAGAATGAAATAGGAGACCCCCCGACGCGGCCTAGGGGGCCCTCGCAGTCTGGTCTTTGCTCGCTTCTCCCACCAGCTGGCGCTCCTTGTCTTGTTGTCTCTCTCGCCCTGGGCAGCGCATACCCTGGCTTTCAGTCAGACTTAATTCCTGGCTATTCTTGTGTTTTTTCCTGGGAGGCCTCCTCGGTGTAAATTAGGGCCCCAAGTGCACTGTCTGACACCACCCTACCCTTCTCCTGCGCTCCCCTCAACATGATTTGCAGTAATGCGCTGATTACAGCGATGATTGGCTGTGAGGGAAGAGGCGGGGAACGTGGGGTCCAATATCCTGGGACGGAAGCTGGTGCACAATAGACCCCAGTACTTACTTATTTTTGAAAGTCATTTGGTAATTAAGCACCGATCTTCCAAGATGTGGTATAAAGGTGAACTAAATTTACGATTGAATTTGTTCATGTAAATCACCTTCGAAGTACATTGCACCTAAGCCGTGTAAAAGATTTTGCATGCATTTTGGAAGAAATCACAAAGAAACAGCTGCTCTTGAAATAAACTTGGCCAGTGTTGCATCTCTTGGCCAGTTGACCATGGTCACCAGAGGTAAGAGTTACCTGGACCTTGTTGTTTGTACTGAGCCATTTTGGGTGCTGGTTTATCTTCTCTGCTTGTAGAGCAACAGAGGACATAAAGTCAAATGCCTGACTGCAGTTTAGGAGAACTCTTGGTAGATGGCACCTCTCTCTCTCTTAATTTTGACAATCCTGCTGCTTTAAGGTCAAGTACAACTTGGTTCCTCTCTTCTGCTTCAACATGTGAGCGTTTGCTGACATGGCCAAGAGGCCCAGACTCCGATCCTGCTCAGTGCCCCTGACAAACGCCGTGTGGCCACCCATCGGTATTTACCGAATGACGGCCTGACTTCAGGAATGATACCCTACCCTGACATCCAGTACGGTAGCCACTAGCCACATGTGACTATTTAAATTCAAACTAATTAAAGTTAAGTAAAAGAAAAAATTTGATTCCTCCTATACTGGCCACCTTTCAAGGGCACCTGTCTGGCTAGCAGCTGCTGCGTTGAACAGCACAGAACATTTCCACCACAGTGGAAAGTTCTATCGGGCCACGCCATGAGGGAGCGCGGGTATCAGTCCATTCACTCAGGTGGTTAAGAGATGTAATTTTGCCATTCTATGACTGAATTTAATTTTATTTCAAGCCCTTATTCTGCAGGGAGAAGGATAGTTATTGGTCTTCCGGGGGTCCCTCTCCCCTTTCTGGTAGCAGGGCAAGGTCTAGGAGTCTTACGTAACGTCAGGGGCTCGGTGGGGATTTGGTGCCCCCCACCCTCATCCCAAGATGTCTTCCTCCTCATCTGGGCATCCGTCCATGAAGGACACACAGTCCTGAAACTCATACAACGAAAAAGAGCAACCCTAGCTTCCCTCTCTCCCTCCTCTACTCGTCCTCTTTCCCCAGAGACATCCTCTTCCATTTTTTAAAAGCTGCTTCTCCAGGTTCATAAATAATGTGTCTATGGCTCTCTTTTGATCTGCCTACTTGAGACATTTTCTCCACTGAATTCCTGTTATGGTGGATGAGAAGTTTTTGCTTTTATTCATCCCTTCAACTCTCTCCTTCTTTCAATTGAGTTATATTACAGTTTTCATTATTGTATAACTATACTATTATTATTCACTGTTGGACGTACTACGTTCCTACGTCCTTTCTTGAACAACGCTTTGAAATGTTACTAATTGTGCCATTTTCTTGTTTTCTTTGCATTTCTGGCTAAACTTTCTCACATCCCCCAGTAATTCTCTGAAACAGTTTTTAGTACCAATTTGCACCCAGTCAAGCCTTTCTTCCTCCTGGAGACGTTCCTCTCGGAGTCCCCTGTCCTCCTGCTCCAGTCTTCCCTGGGGGCCGAATGGCTGTCGTCCTGGGGTTCCCCGTATTTCTGGTCTGTGTTGGAAGCTGTTTCCTCAACCCCAGAGCTCTGTTTTTTCATGATTTAGTTCCTCATGTTGGCTGAGAACAACTTCTGGCAGGTTCTTAAGACAGGGGTGAACACAGGTAACATTTTTGAGTCCATGAACGTCTGAAAGTGTCTTCGTTGTAGCCTCACACTTGATTGGTAGTTTGGCCAGGGCAAGAATTTAGGCTGAAATTAATGTTCAGTAAGAATGTTAAGCCGTTGCTTCATTACCTTGTAGCTTGCAGTGTTGCAGCTAAGTGCTAAGCTCGCCTATAGAGCTAGTAATGAGGGAGAACAAAGGAGAGAGAGAGAGAGATGAGAGAAACATGATCAAGAGAGAAACATCGATCGGCTGCCTCCCACATGTGTCCCACCTGGGAATCGAACCCGCAACCTTTTGGTGTACCGGATGATGCTCCAACAAATTGAGCCAGCAGGCCAGGGCAGTGCCGCCCTTTTCAAGTATCTGTTGCCTCCCTCCCTTTTTGCCTTTCTGAGGGCCTGAGGGGATGAGTTCGTTTGTTTCTCGTGATCTCCTTCTCCCTGGGCTTGGCTTTGACCTTTCTCTGCATGTCCTTTTCCATTTCTCTATCCTTCTCTGTTTCTATATGTCATGGTTTGATTTTACAGATCACTGGCAGCCTCATTAATATGGAGGTTTTGCTTCTGTATCTTGCCCTCCTTGTTACTTGGGGATGACTTTTGAGATCAGAAGGGGATAGAAAGAGTTTTGCTTTATCATTTAGGAATCAGAAATCTTTCAGGAAATCTCCAGCTAGTCAGTCCAGCTTTGTTCTTTGTCATGTATCTTCTGTGACCTAAATCCACTGAGGACTTAAGATTTTCAGTTCAAAAGCCAGGAATTGACTCACTTCTTCTGTGTATTTTGCTATGTGATCCCTTCTCTAAGATGGCTGGCATAGAATGAATGCTCAGATTTGGAGATAGATAAAGGAAATATATGGACACAGAACAGCCTGGTAATTTATCAGGATGTTATTCTGCTGTGATAATTAAAGATTAGAAAAATTAAAGATCAGAAACATTGGAAGCATCAGAGAGGAACTGGGCACTTCGTCATGAGATGTGCCTCCAAATTAAAAATGGCAAACACAAGAAAATGCCACTCGGAGAGCTAGAGACCAAGAAGAGGAGACCTTGGCAGATTACCTGGAAGAGCACTAAGAAGCATTGGCACATCAGCATTTGATGACTTGGGCGAAATCTAGCTAAAGGGGTCGCCTAGGCAGTTCACTCGCTTTATACATGGGGAAAGTGAGGTCAAAGAGGGGAAGGGACTAGACCAAGGTCACTGAATCAGTTAGGGACACAGATGGAATTTAAGCTTTGGTTTGAATTTTGGTGCTTTTATCCTTGCACCATGAAGGTGTCCACATTTTTATGACAGACCTCCTTTTCTATAACTTGGGTACTGGCTTTGACAATTAGATACCTACCTCTTTATTTCTGAAGAGCAAGAACATACTTTTTACTGATGTTCTGGTGGCCTTCTCATGGTGATCAGTCTTGATAATGGCGTTTCTGGGCAAGAAAGAAATACAGCAGTTTGGGACATGCCTTTTATTTTTTAATTTTTATTATTTTTAAAAGATTTTATTTATTTATCTTTAGAGGGGAAGGGAAGGAGAGAAGGAGAGAAATATCCATGTATGGTTGCCTCTCGTGGGTCCCTTGCTGGGAACTGGCCTGCAACCCAGGCATGTGCCCTGAATGGGATTGAACCGCAATGCTTTGGTTCACAGGCCCGAGCTCAATCCACTGAGCTACACCAGCCAGGGCTTGGGACATGCCTTTTAAAGGTCATCTTTTGGCAGGACTTCCTAGAGCCTTTACCCTGTTAGTGTACATTGTAATTCTTCAAAGAGATGCATGGTCAGTGTATTAGTGCACTACAGCTGCTATAACAAAACACCACAGACTGGGTGGCTTCCACAACAGAAATTTTTTTTTCTCTCACAGTTCCAGAGGCTGCAAGTCAGAGATCAAGTTGCTGGCAGGGTGGATTTCTTCAGAATTTCAGTCTTTGAGTAGCCCTGTTTCTAGGGATTTTTGTTCTTAGAAGCAACAAAGAAAGAAATCAATGAACTGCAAGGGTCCATTTAGCATCGAGACGGATTTAACGTGGGAAAGGTATAAGAATGAATGTCTGTGTGCAAATTAAGGTTCTTTTTTACAATTGTGTTTGCATAAATGGCTCATGGCCAAAGATTTGCCTCCAGAGAAGGTGGAGTCTTTTTTTTTTTCTTTACCAATCCCAAAGGAAGTGTAATTGATGTGAGGTTTGTGGGCTCCCTCAATGATTTACCCCACTTACTGAAGTAGGTCTATAGAAAAAATAACACGGTTCCGTATTTTTGACTTGTATGGTGGGTGATCATCCATAATTTCCAAAACACTGGTGCAATTTGCAAGAGAAGAGGCCTTTGATTAGGTTTCAATGAATGTCTTGAATAGGGTCTGAAATGGGAAAAGAAAGCAGCACTGCCCTTGGAGTCTGCAAAAAATAAAACCAATTTGTCTTGAAAAAAACTTATCTCAATTTCTTTCTCTTTTTCATATTTGCAAGTTAAATAGGATTAAATCCCAATCAGCCATTTATACACTTGCCAAGTGTGTGGACTTCGACTTGGCCAAGAGTCAGATCTCTTCATGGCCAAGTTGAGTGTCAGGTGCTTTGATTTAGAGGGACTTTAGGAGCTACTAGTGGTATCATCTTTTCCTCCTCAGAAAATGTGTCATTCCCCTACCTCCCCCAGCTTAATTTAGAACTCTATCTTCCACATCTAGAGACAGCACATCAATGTTCAGAATGCAGAGCATGGTCACAGATGTTGGAATGTACAGCATAAGGTAATATAAAAGGAATACATAAATTCGTAATACCTGAGATCAATGCCTACTCCCAGAGCTCTAATGTTTTATTTTTTGATATTTATTTTAACTTCTATTTTGATGTCAAGACCCCAAAGAACAAATATTTGGTTTCTTTTTGCCACCATGGAGAAAGGTTTTTGAAAACTGAGCATCTACTTTCATGGTGGCCAAGCTTCTGTGATAAACAAATTCCTTTCTCAACTCACTCACCTGGGGACTGAAATGTCAGAGTAGATAACTGTTTGAGAGAGGAAATGAGATTTCATCAGCTACCCTGTTGCCTCCTGAGCTCAGTCAGATGGTCTTTATTGAATGGAAAGAAAAATGTCTCTTTTTCTTGTTTTGTGTGTTGGCACGAGAATTTTGGCTAAACTAAGAGCAAGGAGGACCCTTCTGCTAAAGAAAAACACAAGGGAGGAATGTATGCACACAGCCAGCTCACTGTACCCAGGACTGTCTTTCTGTATTTGTAACCTGTAACTGCCCTAAAGGGACAGATTAAAATTCAAAGCATGCAGATCCTTGCCTGTTTGATTTCAGACACAGAATTGGAAACTGGCTGATAAACATACTCAGCACGCATCCTACTCTCATTTTCTCTGTGTTCTGTTACGCTGGGCTCAGCAGAGAGGCAGGACCCTGTCAACTCTGGCGGAGAAGCATCCCCTCTCTCCTCCGTGATGGGCAGGAGTCCCATTGTTCCAACTGAGAGTCTCCTAACCTCCCTCCATTTCTCCAGTGTGCTTGAAACAGATGAGGACTAGAGGGCCTGGGATGGGAGCAAACACACTTATTTAGCTCCCATTCTGGGTGTGCAGGGGTGGGAGGAAAGTGGTGGGGGGAGGTGGGGAAGGCTTACCTACACAAGAATGTCTTACCTCCCTCTTGGGAGAACAGTCTTGTGGTCAGGAGGCCCACAAGATCCTAGTGACTAATGATACCATTGACACTGGGAGAACAAGGTGACTCCATCTCCACAAATCTGGGGAGTGGCTAAGGTCTTTCATTGGTTAGATTCTTTTTTTTCCCCTCTCTGTCTGCCTTTTAATTATTGGCTTTTTGAGGTCAAGACACAACTCCATATTTCCTTAAATTTTTGCATTAATCATGGGAAGCATAGACAGTAGGCTTAGGTTACTTGTCCTGTTGGACGATGACTGCCTTAGGTCCAAGACTATAGAAGGACATGCCTCCGGTCCCAGGATCAGGACCTCTCATCCATGTTTTGAGCTTCATGAACCGTTGGAGGAAATGAACAGCTTTGCTTCTCAACAGCTGGTAGCATTAGATTCTGGGCCCTGTTTGTATCTTGTACTGTACTAGGCTGTCTGCTATAGGGTAAGGAAGTGGGAATTTGTGATTAGCAATTCATGGAGTTTTCATCTTAACAATTAGGCAGTTTATTGATAATAATTATTGGGTATTCTAAGCACTAACAAAACAAATGATTACTTTTGAATATTAGCAGAGTTTTGTGTCCCTTTCAGAAATGGGTGGTTTTCAAGTACATTTTAGAGTATCCAGTCCAGATTGCCTTTTTTGGAAATTCCTTTCTCCTTCCACCTAAAAAACCCCACAAAGCCTAGGTTTGTGCTGTGATTTCAGCCCCTTAACTGTACACCCATTTGAACCAGGGATGAATAGCTAACCCAGGGAGATTGTTATGGATGGAGTATTTGTGTCCCACCCAAAATTCATGTGTTGGAACTCTACCCTCAGTGTGATGGGACTAGGAGGTAGAGCCTTGGGAGGTAACCAGGATTAGAAAAGGCCAAGAGGGTGGAGCCCTCATGAGTGGGATTAGTGCTCCTGTAAGAGTTATGTAAGAGTTACGTGAGAGCTTTCTTCCCTTCCCTTTTTCCACCTTGTGAGGGTACAGTGAGTAGTTGGAAGTCTGCCACCCAGAACTTCCTACCTCCAGAACTCTGAGAAAGAAATTTCTGTTGTTATAATAAGCCACCAAGTCTATGGTACTTTGCTAGAACAGCCAGAACTGGCTAAGACAGGGATCTATGACACGTTGAGCCAATTCATTATTTCTACTGGTAAAGTGAATACAAAGCTATAGAGACTGGTTGGATGAAATGGTATTGAGCAAGGAAAAGTCATACAATGTTGGGACCAGAGTTGGTGCCAAGGCTAGCCAGACCCATGGGCAAGCTGACGGTGTCAAGGAGAGGTTCTTGAGACTTGCCTAGAAGCTGGTCCTTGGAGATCATTAGCAGAGAGAAGCAGAGATACAAGAGCATATGGTCCAGAGGGAGAGCTCAGCAGTATCTGCAGTCCACTGTGGTCCAGTTTCCTGTTGCTGGATGCTCAACTGCTTATTGTTGTCCTACTGTGACTCCACCTAGTTTGAGTGGGTTTCCCTTGCTTGCAAGCAAATGACCAATGACCAGAAAAATAGCCTCTGATGGCCAGAAGTGACTCATTACAAGGCTGGGAATAGCCAGAGTCTTGATGTGAAGACATGCAGTTTTCCAGGTGGCAAAACAAAACAAACCAACAAAACCTGCTTTGGAGCCAAAGTGAGCCATTTATGCCAGGTGGAGCATGATGTACAATAATCTCTCTGGGCACAAGTGTCCCGTATGGAGCGGGGGGAAAAAAAAAGAATGGTCTCCAGGGCCTGTTGGGTCCCAGGAGCTGTTAGGTACTTTACATGAATGTCCCCTTTTGCCCTTTGGTAGTTGTGGTAGGCTACCTCCACTGTGATATGCTCACATCCTAATCCTCAGAACTTGTGAATATAATTTTATACAGGAAAAAAGGGAGGAACTTCTGGCCAAGATGGAGGCATAGGTGGATATGCTTTGCTTCCTTGAACAACCAAAAGAAGGAAAACAACCAATTTAAACACCGAAACAACCAGAACTGCCAGAACATCGAAGTGTATGGAAGTCCAACAACCAAGGAGTTAAAGAAGAAGCATTCATCCAGACTGGTAGGAGGGGCGGAGACAGGCAGGTGAGGGGGGAAGGACCTGTGGCAAAGCGGGAGACTGGGCTGGGCAAGGTGGTGGTGGACCAGGGGTCCTATATTCACATGAGGATAAGCTGGGAAGGACAAATGGGGCGTGAGAAATACAACACAACCAAGGGTTCTAGCATGGGAAACTAAAGCCTCCAAACCTCTGTGTGTAAAAACCTGTGGGAGTTGAGGCAGCAGGAGAAACTCTCAGCCTCACAGAAGAGTTCACTGGAGAGACCCATGGGGTCCTAGACATACCCAAACCCACCTACTGGGGAATCAGCACCAGAAGGGCCCAATTTTCTTGTGTGTAGTGGGGAAAGTGACTGAAAGTATGGCAAGAGCCCAGCAAGCGTCAGTGTTCCCTTTTGGACCCCTCCCCCACATACAGTGCCACATGCAGCAAGGTGGGTTGCCCCACCCTGGTGAACACCTAAGGCTCTGCACCCTACAATGCACTGAGTAACAGATGCACTGAGGCAAAGAAATATGGCTCAAAAGAAAGAACAGAATAAAACTCCAGAAAAAGAACTAAGCGATGAGGACATAGCCAACCCATCAGATGCACAGTTCAAAACATTGGTAATCAGGATGCTCACAGAAATGACTGAGTATGGACACAAAAGAGAGGAAAAAGTGAAGGCTATGCAAAGTGAAATAAAGAAAAATATACAGGGAACCAACAGTGAAGGGAAGGAAACTGGGACTCAGATCAATGATTTGTAACAAAAGAAGAAATAAACATTCACCTGGAACAGAATGAAGAAACAAGAATTCCAAAAAATGAGGAGAGACTTAGGAACCTCTGACAACTTTAAATATTCCAACATCTGAATCATAGGGATGCCAGAAAAAGAAGGGGAAGAGCAAGAAATGAAAAATTTACTTGACAAAATAATGAAGAGCTTCCCCAATTTGGTGAAGGAAGTCCAGGAAATAGACTTCCAGGAAGTCCAGGAAATTCAGAGTCCTAAAGAAATGGAACCCAAGGAGTAACACACCAAGATACATCACAATTAAATTATCCAAGATTAAAAATAAGGAGAGAATCTTAAAAGCAGCAAGAGAAAAGGAGACAGACAGTTACCTACAAAGGAGTTCCTATAAGACTATCAGCTGAGTTCACAAAAGAAATCTTGCAGGCAAGAAGGGGCTGGAAAGAAGGGTTTGAAGTTATGAAAAGCAAGGACCTACATCTAAGATTACTCCATACAGAAAAACTATCATTTAAAATGGAAGGGCAGATAAAGTGCTTCCCAGATAAGATAAAGTTAAAGGAGTTCATCATCACTAAGCCCTTATTATATGAAATGTTAAAGGAACTTATCTAAAAAAAAGATAAAAAATATGAACAGTAAAATGATAACAAACTCACAATTATCAACAACTAAACCTAAAAACAAAATAAAACAAACTAAGCAAACAACTAGAATAGGAACAGAGTCACAGAAATGGAGATCACATGGAGGGTAATCAGTGGGGAGGAAGTGGGGGGAATGGGGGAAAAAGTACAGGGAACAAGAAGCATAAATGTAGGTACAAAATAAACAGGGGGAGGTTAAAAACAGTATAGGAAATGGAGAAGCTAAAAAACTTACAGGCATGACCCATGGAGATGTACTAAGGGTGGGGGTGATGCTGGTAGGAGGGGGAGTGCAGGTCAGAGGGGGATAAAGGGGGGAAATGGGACAACTGTAATATAATAATCAATAAAATATAAGAAAAACTCAACTAAAAAGAGAAAGGAAAAACAGACTTTGTAGATATGAATAAGCTAAGAATCTCGAGGTGGAGATTGTCCCAATTATCCAGGTGGGCCAATGGAATTAAAATCACAAGGGTCCTTATAAGGGAGGCAGGAGGGTCAAAGTCAAGGAGAAGGCAATGTGATGAGGCGCGGGTTGCAGTGATGTGCTTTGAAGATAGAGGCAGAGGCCACAAGACACAGAATACAGGCAGCCAATGAAAGCTGAAAAAACCCAAAAAAGATTTCCTTTCTGAACCCTAGAATGAACCACTCTTTCTAACGTCTTGACTTCAGTCCAGTGAAGTGGATTCAAACTTCTGACTTTCAAAACTGTAAATCTGTGTTTTAAGCCACTAAATTTGTGACAATCTGTTACAGAAACCTTCGGACACAAATACAGTAGTATTCTTATAATCCCCATTTTTACAAACAAGGAAGCTCAGAGAAGTTGAGTAACTTGCCCAAGGACACACAGCCAGTAAGAGATGGACCAGAGCTTTGGTCCTGAGACTGTCAGACCCAGAGCCTCTGCATCTCTCACTATTTGGTTTTGCTGCCTGAGGAATCTTCTTTCCTAAGCACATCTTTGGACACATCTCTGGCTTGAACTGTGTCCAGCAGGTTAATGAGGGCTACCTGGAGCCTGAGGATAGGAGGGATGACCTCTCAACATCCTTCCTTTCAACAGTGCCAGGAAGTATGTTTTTGCCAACTGTGCAGAAGTGCCGGGACCTCCTGTGGCCCCAGTGGCTGGGCCCTGCCAGGTAGATCTGGCACTGGGGTCTTTTAGGTACCTGCTCCTTTGAGGATGCAAGAGGAGGTCTGATTTATTATGGTGCATTCTCCAATTTCATGCCAAATGATTCAATTACAGCCACCCTCAGCACTCAGGAGAGGTTTCCTGCTGGCTCACGAAGATGAGACAAGGGGTAGCCTGGAGCGTGTAGGAAAATTTCACCTTATTATTTATTGGAGGGGAAAGTGGCATTTCTCCCACTTTGCAGTAGGTTAGTTAATCACCAGGCCTCCCATTTTCAAAGTGAAGCCAGGTTTTAATGAGGAAATATGGCAATGTTTTTATTTTATTTTCCCTGGCTGCCTCATGCCTCTCAGCTCAGGGTACCTCCTGCTCCGTTGAAAGGAATGAACTTCCCACTAACATAAAAACAGTGGCTCCCATTTATTAAGCACTTACCATGTGCCAGGCACTGTGTTAGGCAATTTACAAGTAATCCTCCAACGGAGCCTGAAAAGTAAATGTTGCTATGCTCACCTCACACATCGGAAGGTAAAAGCTCGGGTGAATGTAGGAATTTGGCCAAAAATACCATCCGGTCAGCAAGGATTCAGACCTAGGTTTTTCTGAACCTGGAGTGTTTGTTCTTTCCAGAAGTGATAGCATGTTTCTTTGTGTTTGTTTGTTTGTTTTTGATGTTTGATTGCCCGCTGCTATCCACTCTGCAGGTCTAGTCTCGGATGGCCCTTCCTTCATTCAGTCTTCCCTTAACACTCAAGTTCAGGTCTCCCGTAGCAGTGGGTACTTGTCTATTCAGTTCCACGTTTCAAGTGGTATGGTAACTGTCTGCCCCTTCTCCCGTCCCCACTGAGCCATAGGCCCTGGAGGGCAAAGCCTGTGTGTGATTCACATGCGGGTTCTGAGTAGGCTGTGAACAATTGCTTGTTGACTGCATCGCACACACTCACAGAAAGGCTGTCGCTGGAAATTATCATCAACTTTAGCTACTATTTGGGGAAAGTAACCAAAATGTGCAAAATGAATTCAAATATTATCACTTAAAAATATGGAACTCACGAAAGGTGACACACAGAACCGATTGCAAAGAGTTTATTGGAACAACTTATTGGAGTTCAGTTAGACCTTAAAAGATTTATTATACCATATGCAAGGAAATGTCCTAAAATCACCAAATTGGTTTCCTTAATGCTGATGTTCACTGCAGATTGCCACAGAGGGCTGTAAAAACATTGCTTGGTTCTCGGAGTGTATTTGGGCTTTTATTTTCAAAGTGCCCCTTTGGATGTGTTCATCTCATTCGCTCGCTCTGTTTTTGGCTGAAAATGTATTCCTCTGGGCCCATTTGAATGCAAGTACCTTTAGGGCAGGACTCGGTCTAGTTCATTGCCCTGTGGCCCTGGCGTGTAGGACAGTGCCCAGCTCACAGAAGCTTATCAGTTAATAATATTTGTTGGTTAATTGATGGCCTCCTTCTAGTTAACGTAGTGAAAAGGTCAGAGAGGGGGAAAAAGGTGAGGAGCAGTGGGCGGGGAGGTAGGAGCCCCTAAATAACTCCCTCCCTCCTGTGGTGGGTGCTGGCTGCCCGTCTACTGCTCCTGGTCCACCACGCCAGACAGAACCACCACACACCTTTCCTCACAGTCCTTTCACCTCCTGAACGAGTCCTGAATGCCAGAGAACACACTAGGTAATTTCTCAGGCTTTTCCTCATTACTCACTCTTGCCACTGACCTTCTTCTCTCTTTTTCATTTTGCCTCCTTTTGATGTGGGCAGAAGCTCTAGGTCTCAGCTTTGATTCTGGCCCCTGGTCTTTCCTCAGAGCCCGGGCGAGTGCTGGGGGATTGAATTTGAGCTTTGCCCATTGTCTAGCTGTGTGGCCTTCAGCAAATTCTTTAACCTCTCTGCTCTTCCGTGTCCTCTGCAGCAAACTGAGATTAATAGTCCCTCCAGGCCTTCTCAGAGGATTAGCTGAACAAATATAGGTGAAGTGCTTAGGCCAGCACCTGCTGTGCAGTAAGCGCTTACTTACTCCCAGTAAGTAGTAAGCTGTTACTACTCTTATCCTGTTGTCCTTAGGCTCTCCATGGGACACCAGGGAAAGGCAGACAGAGCCTCAGCACAGGATGGAACCCTTGGTAGTGCCCGCGACACCTGCAGCGATGTGGGGAGGTAGCCTATTGCAGAAAGAAAGCCTTACCTACTGTCGACTCAACAAGTCTTGAGCTGGGTCCAGATGCGAAAGGCTGTGTTTTTGCTCCCGGTCAACATTGAACTCTCATGGCTGAGTGCCTGGGAGGCCCTTGTGTCTCTGACCACCGCCCTTCTCCACTTTCCGCTCTGGGATCCTCTGGGTTTTTTCAGGCTCTTGCTTCTCACGGAGTCCTGGCTCGGTGCTGAAGAGCCTCATCACAGCCCAACCCTGGGCGCTCTGGATCCTGCTCAGCTGTCCCAAAACTTTTGCTTTGCCATCATCAACAGCCTCTTACAGGACAGCTGGGGGCATTAGTTTCCTGCAAAGTGCCTCTTTTTCTGCCTTACCAAGGTCGCCCCACTCAGGAAGGGTTGAGTGTAGGAAGAAGAGAAGCAGCGAAAGCACAGTTCTTACCTCACCAAGCACCTTTCCTGGGGGTGGCTGGTGGGGGTGTCCTCAGCCTGGAGCAAGCGAATTGCTTGGGGTCAAGCTGCACCCTGCAGTTTAATTTCAAACCCTGCAGCTGGAGCATGTCCACTGCTAAAACCCACCTGCTCTCATCACCATGCCGACCCTGATGGAGAGAGGCGTTCATTTACAAGAAGGGCGCTAAACAGCAGATGTGTGTCAATACGGGACTTTCGACTCAGGAGAGGAAGTAAATCTCATTTTGGAATTAACGTCGTGATTGACGCTAGAGCATATAAACTTGTTATATAATTGATCTCCGAGCAAAGTGAGACTGTGACGAGCAGGTACACCTGACATGTTTTCACTACCTTCTCTCCCCTGTCTTTCCTTCCTCTCTCCTACCTGGGGATGGCCAGCCTGAGATGAGAACCGACCTCCTCTCAGTCTATTTTTGATTTTAATGTTACCCCAGGGAAAGGTATGCTAAAGTAACTTTGACTCCTCAGCCTGCTGTTTTCACTGTTGTTCTGGCCGTACAGTTCTGCCCCAGGTCTGACTTGCATCCCTCATGCTGTGCCCAGGGTCTCTTAGTTTCAGATTGCAGAGGACAGGAACAGCAACAGGTCTACACCTTTTAAAGGCTGTGGTAGTGGTTGCCTTGTGGTCTGTCCATTCCTAGGACACACCCACCACCAATGCCATCATGCCCTGTCCCCTCTTCTTTGTGTCCTCTCTTCCTTCCACCTTGATCCTCACCACCTCTCTTTTAATTAAACCAGTGAGTGGTGACGGAAGACCTAGAGCCTCAGATTCTGCTGGTGGGAAAGTGTTGTAAGCTGTCGTGAGAAGCATACCCCTAAATTTTAGGAGTCTGAGCACCCTAGCTTTGAAGCTTTGTCTGATTTATTTATGGGCTGGCCTCTGTCGCCCAGAGAACAGCATTATATCAGCCAGTGTGCTGAAGGTGCCCCCAGTGGTTTATGGCTGTGATAATGGAGTTGTTACAGGCCCTGGGTGAGCTGGAATTTATCAAGACCCAGGCTCTTCCCTGTGTAACTGGTGCTGAGACATCACTAACCTCAGTCAACAACAATAATAGCAACAACAATAATAACAGCAATGATAACAGCAAAAAATAACAGTAGCAACAACAAAAATAATAGTAATAACAACAGCAGCAGCAGCAAAACTAGCTCATACCTACTCAGCCTTTACGATGTGCCTGCTAAGCCTAATAATGCCACATGCTTGTTAACACTTAACATACATTATTTTATGTTCCTCCAATTGTCCTGTGAGGTAGCAGAGTCCTCAGGTGAGGAAACAGAGTCCCGTTAAGTTAAGCAGTGTTTCCAAGGCCACACTTAGTAAGGACGTGAGCAGAGAATGTAAACTCAAGACAGTCTGAATCCAAAGCCCAGGTTCTCACTGGTCTCCCAACAGCCAAGGAAGACAGGGACTCTGTCACTTTGACAGTCACCTGGAGGGGCTTCCTGTTCTCCGTGTACTCTGACTTCTGTGTGCATGGGAGTGTTGTGCATGTGCATACGTGTTTGCAAGGGCAGCTGCAGTAGCTTGGGAGCATCCCAGTAGAGAGTGCTGGCTGCCCGTGCACCTTGGACTTGGCCTGCCCAATCCCACTTGTTCTCTAGGGTGAGTTTCTGGAGCCCCTTTGCAGGGGGAGGCCAGAGAGAGCGCTCAGGGTCATTCCCTGCCCACGCTCCATGGCACCTTCCTCCTGGGTGCTAATCCCCACCTCCTGTGGTTCCTGCTCTGCAGGTTCAATCAGCCCTTCCGTGGGGACCCTGATCTACATCATACAAAGGGCTTCGATGCACACGCCTCATTTAGATCTCAGAGCATGCGGTGAGGGAACAGTGGCTTGAGACAGGGGAGGCAGAAAGTGTGACTGATAAAAATAAGCCAGGGGATTAAGAGACCCAGTTGTTCCTGGGCCAATCCACAGTCAAATAGGTAGATATTAAAGTAGCTAAAGGAAGAATGAGTCCAACAGTAGGGGGACTGATTAAATGAATTATGGCACATACTTATAATGGGCTACCAGGCAACCATGAAATGAATGATTAAGAAGAGTAATTGGCAACATGAAAAGTTGGTGGCCATGTATCATTTAGTGAAGAAAAAGTCACCAGAAAGTATGTATAGCATGATTTCATTCTTACAAAGGTACAGATTTATATAAGTGCATGTACATATGTATGTATACAAGAATATATATATATATATGTATTTATAGGTATACATATTACCATGCATAGAAAAAAGCTTAGATGTTTGTATAAAGGTTAAATATTTTCGTAATATATTGAATGTGGTCAATATATCTGGGTGGTGGTACTATGGATGATCAATATTTTTTTTCTGTACTATATGTTTGAAGTTTTTTTTTATAATGAACTGGCATTTGGAATAAGATAAACATTTATGAAAGGAAGAAAGAACAAGCCATCCAAAGGGAGGTATTTAGTGTCAAGCCTAGAAAACCAGGGGGCCAGACAGAATAAAAAGGCACAGTGTGCAGCGGCGTCCTGGCCACTGAGACCTGAATTTCGGGGCCATGACAATTCCAGGTCCCGCTGTGTCCAGAGGTGGCTCATGAGCTTGTCCTCACCTAGGCTGCCGACCCCCCTGGCTCTGACTCCACACTCGGTAGGATTCCACCCCTCCTTTTTTGGGTCGCAAGGTAGTTTTATTTACTTGCAGCCGGGAAAGGAGACAGGGCATTCACACCCAAAGCTCTGCCTCCCGGAAGGGAAGCTTAGCACTTTGTGGTCAATTACATGTTGACTTCTTCTTTGCAGTTGTTTATCTGTTTATAGCTGGTCTGCAAAATACTATGCTGTATTTTCACAGCAAGAACAGCGTTTAGTAAGAATGGCCCATTCTTTGAGACCCTTGTCCTGTCTAACACACTGGTGAACATGCTGTGGTGATATTAGAGTTCTGCCGCCAGGCCTCCCGTCTCATTCAAAACAGATTCTTCTGACTTGGCCCTGATGCTACGTCAAAGTCTATGGATAGCCCCCTGATCCCCCATGACTTACAAAGGTCTTTGTTTTCCCGTGTTTATTAATGTAAGGATCTGATGAAAACTATGGACCCTTTCCTCTCCCACACAATATATATGCATATGTTCTACATACAATTTTCTGGGGGTTCTTGAACTCTTTCAAGCCCATCTACAGACATTGTCACCCCTCACCCCACCCCCAAGATCAAAGATCCCTAATGTTTGCTGGACTATTAGAAAGAAAAGAGGGTGGTGTGTTGCTCATTGGGATTCTTAATTTGAACTCGTGTGTCCTGATATCTGGGAGGGTTTTGTGCTGGTTTAGAGACTGGAACATTCTAGTTACAAAAAGGGGAAACAATGTTCCCTATGAGAAACCGGCATTTTGGCATTCTGATTTATAACTAGTTCCTGGTGAGCCTGTTTAATGGGAGTGTATCCAGAAGTGATTGGTTTATCAGCTCTTGGGCCTGCCAGCTGAGGACTGGATCGAGAAATGTGGTGGTGAGGGTCTGGTCATCTCTGGCCAGAGCTGGTCAGCTGGCCTTTCCCTAGCAACATTTCTGTTTGGGAGACAGTGTGACACGCTGGAAAGGACCTGAACTTGGAACTGGGTGGACCTACAGTCAAAACCCAGCTCTGTCATTTCTTACAATCTGTGTTGAGCTGCTGACTTCCCCTCTCTGAGACTTGCCCCTCTCATCCAAAAGTGGGCATAGTAAAACACTACAGAGTTCCTTTAGTGATTAAATAAAATGGAATTTAAAGTTCCTGGCACCTGGTTAACATGTGATGATAGTAGTTAGCTCTTGTTTGTCTGCAATACTGGGGAGGGCAGGGATGACAGACAGCATCCCTGATCTTGGGCCTGGAGAGATTACGTGCTTTGCTCAGGTTGACACTGTTAACCCACAGGAAAAGCAGAGAACATGACTCATATTGATAAAAATAACCCAAGGGATTAAGAGACCCAATGGTTCCCAGGTCAAAATATAGTCAAATTGGCAGTAGATGTTAAAGTAACTAAAGGAAAAATGAGTCCAACAGTAGGGGAACTAGTTAAATGACCAAAACGCAGGTCTTCAGACTTGCCTACTGGGGCTTCCACTCCAGCATGGCCTTGAGTCAGTGAGGGTGAGCAAACTGTGGCCCATGTTTTTATAACTTGGGCCTGTTTTTATAAGTGGAGTTTCTTGGAAAACAGCCATGCTCCTTTGTTAAAATATTGTCTGTGGCTCAACAGCAGAGCTGAGCCTGCATGGCTCCCAAAACCTAACATATACAGACAGACATCTACCGTCTGTCCCTGTATAGAGAAAGTTTGCTGATCCCTGGTGTCGAGGGTCATTGTCTTCCAAAGTAGAAGGAATTTCAGAGAGGGGAACTGCAGAGTCAGGAAGGTGAAGAAAAGGAGGATTTGGGAGAAAACACTGGCTTCCAGGGAGCAAAGGGAGCAGAATAAAAGGAGAGTATAATCCTTCAGCAGACCTGGCAGTAGCCCCAAAAGACTAGCCAGGAAATATTAAGAAATCGATAAATCTGCTCCCTTTAATTCTTTTGTCTCTCTGGGGGATGCAAGACCATTTGCACAGATTATGAGAAAATGTGCTGAATATCTGGCAAAAGGCCAGGTCTCGAGGTGGTCCTTCGGAAAGGCTGGCTGGTAACAGGGGTGTCATCTACTATTTGTCTTCCCTGGCTCTGGGCTCTGACTTCAGGACGTAGAGTGTTATGTTTCTTGGAAATCCATCATTGTCTATAGCCAATTGGTCCCCAAACAGTGTCTACTCTGACTCCTTAAATATACCTCCAGTCTTTCCTTTCCTCCCCATCTCCACTGCTACAATCCTAGTTCATCATCATCTCTCACTAGGATTATTGTAATAAAGTCTGCCTGCCTATGCATCCATCCATCCATGCATCCATCATCTATCATCTATCCAGTTGTGCTGAGTATCTGCCATAGGCCATGTACTGACTCAGCCCTGGGACACAAGGCTGAACACATCAAAGTATTTACCTTCAAGGGTTCACTACCTAATGGTCTTTAACAACTGATTTTCACTCCCAGCCTCACCTCCATTCAAGTTCTCCTTCTTCCCTGTTTGCTGGGTGTTCTTTTGAAAGCGTACATTTGATTACCCTCTCCCTCCAATTAAAAGCTTTATTAATTTTTAATTACCTTTAGGACAAAGTCCAAAGTCATTAGTATAGCATTTAGACCTTTGCAAATTGATTCCCACTTATATTTCCAGCCTTTCCCCCAACAAATTTAAGGTTTTTTTTAAAATTAATTTTATTTAG